TACAACAATAAAAATCCTACGAATTTCAGGTTCCGACACACGTATCGACGAATCCTCAGGTGTAAATTCGGTGCGGAACGTCCGAATATTTCAAGAAATGCGTATGTTCGACGGCAATGAAAGACAACGTTCCCCCCACTCCGAGCAATACACTTTCTTTCCGGTGCTAGCTGCTCAATCCGCATTTTTTTTCTAACGGGTTCCCCAACAGTCAGTATTGCAACGATCTTGATGTGCATAATAGAAGGAGAATCACATGTATATTTATTAGATCTTCAATTTTTTGCATTTTCTCAGCAACCTACGGCATTTATAAATTGTATGAAACTAATGAATTACCGTATGGAAACGGTACAAATACCTGTGTACATCAGAAGAGGCTCAAATGTGCTTCTTCTTTGAGCAGTGGAAGCACATCAATAGCACCAATTACTCATAGAATCTTTCATTGAACATATATATTTGATCTTTTTGTTGTTTTCTTTGTTCTCCTCATTGTAACAGAGTTTTTCTTTTTGTCAAAAAGAATAAAGCCTAAAGCAAAGTGATGTAAGCAATACATGGTGACACGGCAATAATTCACAGGAAACACTCAAATAAAATGGAACAGCTGCTCTACACGTTATCGTTCGCTCATGTGGAAATACATAGCTTCCCAAGGAGGTAAATATTCAGAATAATGACCAGTCATACTGTATGACAGTCACAATGGTCCTCTTCCATAAACTTCATCCGAGCTTCCCGATCTGCAGCGCTAAATTCGCGCCTTTCCACTTTTCTGTACTCCCTTGTTGTAGAAATTGTGTTGGGTGAGTCGTTATGATAATACATTATTGAAGCCTCCTTGGTCTGATTAGGATTATCTGAACAAAGCTGATTATTCAGGATTTTTTCGCTGCGCAAAAGTTCCATAACATTATTTTTGTCATTAAAAAATTCCTTAGGACACCCACAGTCAATGCTAGGTAGAAAAAAAGCTTTGTTGTATTGACTCAGATTTGGAAGAAATCTTCCCATACTATACAAATGCCTTCACATGAATACGGTAGGCAACTACGACGCTCCCATGTGAGAAAACAGGAAATTTCTCTTACAATATTCTCTTGAAAGCCATAAAAAAATTTGCTCACCGCAAAATCGTCGCAATCCACATGCTAGCATTATGCAAAAGCAGAAGATGATTGCAGAGAAGCACAGCAGCAAGGCGGTTTTGATCCAAACCGGAATATAAGAGATAAATTCACTTAGCGGCATGTCGCACTCGAAATTTCCTGAAACATAAAAACCGATCACCTGACTACGAAGGTACCATGTGATCTAAGTACCTTCTTCAGTGAAACCGCAGGTCTTCAAACGTGGTTCCATTATTTCGTTTTCTAGCTGTGTCATAGGGACCAGAGTCCATCTGGGGTCAACTTGACTTTCTTTGAGCGGATAGTTGAGGTATCCGCCATGAACTTGGCCGTCACCTAACCTAAACAGATTGGTATGTTTTAAAAATAGAAAAAATTTCAATACTAATGAATTGCACCCACCGGAAGTCAATATTTTGATGGACCTGCTCTGGCGTCAAAGAAGCAGTGATATAGTAAGGAGTGTTATCATAATCCGATGTGGGCTTATCCGCTAATTTGGTGATATCTATCGAAGAGTAATCTGACTGCCGGCTATCTACCACAACCAGATACCGCCTTAATTTTTACGTTATTTCTTTTCAAAACACCGAAGGAATTCGAATGGACTGCTTACCATACTGTAGGTGAAAGTTGTGCATTAGCACTAGAAATGTCTACTTCACGCATAAATTCGCGATTGCCGATGTTGTCCACAAAAAAGTTCGGTGGATTGATGGAACAGACTCTTTCGAGAAGATTCCATGGCCTGAAACATCGAATCTTTGTATGAAAAGGATGAGAGCTGCTGCTGGTTCACCTTCTCGGGATCGTGGTCCACTTGTTCCATTGTCTATCCACCTTTGCTCGAACCTTAAATTATCTGCTATCTTTTTTGAGGACAACCTAGTTTTAGGGAAAATTTATAGATTAAAGGCAGTGGCTCGGGAAAATCGCGACTGCGGGTTT